GAGGGTAAATTATCCGGACATGACAAGGAAGAAAACAAGGACTTGTTACTAGTGATATGATCGGTGGCTCCTGAGTCAAGGACCCAAGGTCCGAGGGAGTGAAAGTGAGTCAGACCAACAAAAGGTGTACCTGTACGTGCAACAGATGCAGATGTAGTGGAACTAGAGTGTTGACGATCCTCATACCATATGAGAAATTCGTGAAAGATTGCAGGGTTTTCTACAGTATTAGATGAAGTATGATGGTCTGCAGACGGTGATCGGGGAGGTGGATCAAAATTAGCCATTGCTACAGGTCGAGGAGGACGTCCATGAAGCGCATAACATCTATCAATTTTGTAGCCTAACTTGCCACAGTGGTCACATTTTGGACATCCTTTACTTGGCTTGCGAGGCCGATTTCGATCATCACGTTGGGCAGCCATAATTGAGGAATCATCATTATGAGGAGATGTCTCAGTGACTGGTTTGCTCGGTATACGCAAAAGAGCATAACAAGTAGAAGTAAAGTTGGGTATGACAGGAGAACCCAAAATCTGATCACAAACATGAGAGACAACATCAGAGAATCCGTAAAATGCCAACAACATGAAGAACTTTGATCGTTGTTTCAGTTCTTCAGCAGGAGTGGAAGGAGGAGGTAATATCTCATTAAAATCATGAAGAAGGGCATGAACTTTACCCAAATATTTTGCCATGGGACCAGGACTGCACGGACCAATAACAGTTAATAGGTCCTGACAAACACCAAAAAGACGCTGAGTGTCATTTGTGTATAACAACTTCGCTTGTGCCCATACTTCTGAACATGTTTCATATGATCGAAACATTTGTTTCAGTGAGGAGTGAATGGTGGACTTTATAACAATGCATAACTGTGCATCAATTTTCATCCAGCGAGAAGCGTCATCTAACTCTTCAACCAATGGTGATCTAAGTACCCCTAACTCTTCAACCAAAGTTTGATGTCGGACGCCCATGTTGCATAATTTGTGCCATCTAACTTGTTAATGGACAAGTGTACATTCACATAATTGGTGTATATTGAGGGATTAGAAGATTAGCCTCCAACATAGGTGTTTGTAGACGAGGAAGACGCCATGGAGAGGGAGAAACCCTAAAAATCCAAAGTGCTCCGATTAACGCAACGACCACAGATCCAGAAAGAGGACGAGGAGGCGATCACGATGGTTCTAATCGGCGGCGGAACTCTCCTAGGACGCGCCGGCACGCGCGGCAGGAAGCAGCAGAGCCGGTAACTGTTGCGGCGGCGCGTGGGTGGTCCGTTCGCCGCGATCTTTGTACCACGGTGGTCGCCCGGTCGAGACGATTCCGATGGTGTGGTCGTCGGTCGATTCTGGAACTCCGGCGGCAACGGCGATGGCAATGACGGCGACGGCAATGACGGCGACTGTGGTGACAACAGCGGTGATGTGTGCCGGAGACCGTGGAGTTGGCTTGAACTAATCCTATACTCTAGATACCATGTGAGAAATAGAGAAGATTGGGAGAAATATCCCTTATGTCTTTTGCATACACATAGGGTAGTTTATTTATAATATAAGATATGGGCCAAGGCCCTTAATACAGAATGGGCCGAGCCCAATTAACCGTGAAACAACCCACTTAGCAAAATTAAAGGCTAGTGGTAACAGAAAGAGAAAAACAATAAAACTTCCTATGACTACGTCTCCTGATAAATCAGGACATTATTCAAATTAAAACAGAGCATCTGCATAATTAAAATTCTATCACAACATGTATGATCTAGTCACAATTAGAAAATGTTGCCGCATCCACTAGAAAAATATTTGGCTGCAGCCTTAAACAAGAACAAGTTACCCTGAACTTTAATATATGGACAGGAACTTTATTTACATGGAAATTCTATTGGAGATGAAGGAATCCGTTCTTTGATGGCGGGATTATCTGCACATAAAGGTTAACTTGTTCTAATTTATGATTTTGACTGTCATTTATGCTTCCACAATTTCATTTCAGTATTACACATTTAACTGACAAGCAGTATTTGTTCTGAAGGGAAACTTACACTTCTAGACATTGGCAACAACTCATTAACATCTAAAGGTGCATTCCATGTCGCTGAGTGTGTTAAGAAGAGCAGAAGCCTTTTGTGGTTGAACCTTTATATGAATGACATTGGCGATGAGGTATTCTGTCCCCTATTTCACATTATAAATCTTGTTGATATTGTGTCAGTGTGAGGTCATATGATAATTACGATCCTTAAGATGTTTAAGGATTATTTTTCCCCGTAACTTATCAGTAGAAATTGCATTCTATTATGTCAAAATATCACTTATATGATGCATAAACTATCAATTATATATGAATAGTAAATCGATGTGTATAACTCAGAAATAACCATGTGATACAGACCCAAACTTTATTGGGCTCAATGAACCCTTGATCCAAGAAGAAAAGATCAAGAATAGATGGGGCAGAGTATATGAGAGAAAAAAGACTAGGAAGGCTGACGTGGCATATTAGGGAGGAATAGGTTTGTTAGAAGAGAGAGAAAGGGGTGTGGTTGTTTTAAAAAGAATCAGTGAAGTTTTGGGGGAGGACGGTTATTTTGTTTAGTGGAAAAGGAACCATTCTTGGTTTCTCTAAGGAGCTTGGCTCTCGGCAGTGAGATATTCATATCTTACTGATTTTCTTGTTCTGCAGAGAATAACAATCATCCATATTCCATTTGAGTCTTCACTTAAAACTTTTTTGTTCTTTAAAAACCTTATCACCATGCGTCACCCTGTATGTCCAAATTGCCATACTTGAGAAAACTTATGTTTTCCCTTAGTATTCTTCAGTAACAACTACTACAACAAAATAAATAGTTCTGCAAAGGCAGATTTTTAAGAGGACAAGGATCTCTGATTATATTCAATAACTAGTTGTGTATAATTGTTAGGGAGCCGGAAAAATTGCAGCTGCTTTAAAGGAAAATCGGTCAATAACAACATTGGATCTGGTAAGAAGAGATCCTATTTTTGTTTCCTTATGTTTGCTCTCTGTACATGTCTTGTTACTCCCCCTGCTCTGATCATTAAAAAAAAAATATCGAGGCTGTAATGTAATACTATTGCTTGGGACATGATTTGTCTGAGTTTAACGTTGCAGGGTGGAAATAACATTCACGCTGATGGTGTTAATGCCGTTGCTCAAGTTTTAAAAGATAATTTAGTGATTACCACTGTAAGCGTCTCAACAGTTATTTAATTTCTCGTCTTTGTTCTGCTTGTCTTTTCTATACTCTAATACAGATTTTGTCTCATTCTTAGTTGGAACTTAGTTATAATCCCATTGGACCAGATGGAGCCAAGGCCTTGGCTGAAGTTCTCAAGTTTCATGGGAACTTAAAAACTCTTAAGCTTGGTTGGTGCCAGGTAACCTTTTTATCATGCACTACTTGTAAATTGTTTGTTATAACTTTTATTTGTGACATAGAATAACATTACAGATAGGAGCAAAAGGTGCAGAGTTCATTGCAGATGCTTTAAAATACAATACCACAATATCAATTTTGGACTTGCGAGCGAACGGACTACGAGATGAAGTTTGTTTTCAGTACCTTGAGTCAATTTTTCTCTTAATCTCTTTTCAGACCTTCGTCAGTCATTCTGAGTATGCTGTTGTTTTATGAAAATCAACTACTGCAGGGTGCACAGTGCCTGGCTCGCAGCTTGAAAGTGGTTAATGAAGCTCTAACCTCTCTAGATTTAGGATTCAATGAAATAAGGGTATGAATGTATATTTTTAGTTCCTGAGGAAATTATATTGTCTCTAATTTTGTCTGATTCATAGGATGACGGAGCTTTTGCTATTGCTCAAGCACTCAAGTCTAATGATGATGTAGCTGTTACATCCCTTAACATTGCAAGTAACTTCCTTACAAAATTTGGGCAGGTGATGTATATTGTGCTATTGCTATTGCTATTGTTTTTGCTCAGTTTAATGTCAATTTCATTTTATTTTCGTGAGTTTAAATATACTTCACATGCAGGGTGCCTTGGCTGATGCAAGAGACCATGTCTTGGAGATGACCGAAAAGGAAATCAACATCTTCCTCTAGAAGACATTATATTCTGCAATAAATATTTTTTTATAAAAGAGCATTTTTCTTTTAATTTTGCATATATGCTGCCGGCAATTACTGGTAAGAACTCGTCATGTCAAATTTTTTAGTTCTAACCAATTTATCGAGGGAAAGTATAGAAATTTGTTCGCAGTTTAGCCTTATATTGTTGATCTTGAAACCGTTACAGCGGTTGGATGATACAGTTGACAACAATAGTGATAGCTTGTCGGTATAGTTATCATGTGCAGATGGAGTTTAGTTTTGGCAGCAGCAGATTTTTCCTCCGAATCATAGTTGCTAAATTACGTAGAGTTATCAAATGGAAGTTTTAAGATGAGTTTTGAATTATTAATTTATGTTGCTAATTTTGTTGCATACGGTAGTGTGCTCGAAGCTCACTCTAGTCTTTTGTTTCCATCTCTTTTATGAACCTTGTGTGCTTTGATTGATACGCTACTTTGATGCTCGCGTTATAAAATTGGTGCGATCAGTTAAAGACGCAAAAAAGAAGAAAAATAAAAAAAGAAAGAATTAATAAACTAATTCTTTAACTTTTCATCTCCGAAGAAGATTGCACACTCGTTCGAGAATTCGACAGCAAAAGGGTAATGAATGATGGATTGGATATATTGATTCATTCTTAATCTAGTTCATGAAATTTGTCTAAATTACTAAACTATATAAAATTATTAATCATAGTTTTATAGTCGAGCAATTTCAACATTGGTGGCCTTAAAATCTGTAAAACTTAGATTTAGTTAAAATTTAGAGATACGATAAATTTGTTTGTATTCAATTAGGTTTTTGATAAAAAAAATTGTTCGATTTTAGTGTTTGAAATATTCTTTTATTGTCTATGAATTTACGTTTAGTTTTTATTGTGCCAATAAGATGATGTTATTTTTTTTGTTTTTATTTTTAATTCATTTCTTTTCCACTATAATTTTTTAGGTTTAAAATCTTAATTAGTTTATGAGATTTTGATTGATATCAATTGAGTCTTTATTTTGAAAATGTCATGCAATTTGATTATTTTTGTTAGTAATGTATTATTAATGACATTAATTCATGTGTTATGTGTAAGCTTGTAGGTTTTTTAATTTTTTATTTATTTTTGTCATTTAAAGTATTCTCATGACAAAGAAAGTATGATATGGTAGTGTCATTACGTGAAAAATCTCAATTTAGTTTTTATATTTCTTAGTTTCAATTCAATCCTATTTTTTTTTTTCAAATTGGAGCAATTTTATTTTTTTTTTTCAAAATTGAAACTAAATCTAACTTTTATATAAATGTTATAATGATATTTTTATTAATATTTTTAATAATATTAAGTTTATTAAATTTATATTTTATATTAAACTTTATTTAAATTGTTTTAAATATTTATATATCAATCATTTTTCACTGTCTTTGCAAGGTGATAAGACCATCCATTCAATTTTATTTAACTTTTATATAAATGTTAGAGTTGGTTTAAAAATAACACTTTTATAAATTTAAATGTAAAATTTCAAAACATTTTATAACAATTTAGAACAGATATATTTAAAATTTTAAAATAAACTTTAAATAAAGTTAATGTAAAATATAAATTTAAATAAATTAATCTTAATAAAAATATCAATTTTAATATAAATATCATTATAACATTTATATAAAAGTTAAATTTGGTCTCAATTTGAAGAGTTGTGAATTGTTTTATTTAAAAAATATTAAGACTAAATTGTGAAAAAATAATAAATACATGGACTAAACTAAATTTTTTTACATAACATTTGTCCTATCAGTTACACTGACACTATTATGATGTCACATTATCTTTGTCACATAACACGATCCTCATTTGACATGTAGCAAAATGATTTTTAAAAAAATTGAAATGAAATTAAAAAAACAAATGAACATGTGGCACATGAGTTAATGTAGCTATAGCATAATACTAATAGAAATGACCAAATTATATCACATTTTCAAAAGTAGCATTCAATTGAAACGAATAAAAATTTGAGGACAATTTTCTAACAAATAAGCGATTAATCAAAGGTTTAAACTAGGGATGACAAAAATATCTCTATCCACAGAAATATATAGTTGGTACTCATATGTATTTATTATTGGTGAGTAACATATGTTTTAATATTTGATTATAAATGGATTGAGTGCGGGTATTATACTACTCATACCCACATATATTCATTATTTGCAAAAAGATTAAAATTAAAATTTAATTTATATCTTATTAAGTTAAACTTAATTAAATAAAAATTAATTTATATTTTATTAGATAAATTTAATTAAAAGTAAATATTAAATTATATTATTTTTATTGCAATATCATTTAAATTTTATTTTAAAAATTTATAAAATATTTTTTTAAATATCTACAAATATTTTCTAAACACAGTAACCGAAGAACAAAATAACGAATATAATACGTAAACATCATGTCTTACCCAGCCCATTGTCCTCCTAATTTAAGCCAATTTTTTAACTCGTTGATTAATTTATTTTTTCCTTCTCCACCAGCAAATGGATTGACAAATTAGAACATAGTAGAGAGGATAGACAAGTTGATTGATAAATTAAAGATGGAAAGTCAACTATAATGACAACTTCATTTTACTAAGAGTACAATTAAAAGAACATGCACTTAAGTAAAAATAAGAAATATTGTAGACAATAAAACAAACATTTTAATAATAAATATATTGAAAATACCAAATTTATGAACGCTTAAAACTTAAATAAACTTTAAAATTATTAATTTTGAATTTATTTTAACAATGATAATATTTACAAATATTAACAATATTCTATAACATTAAATGAATTTAAAAATAATTATATTTAATATAATTTAAGGCTTCTGGCTTTAATTTCTTTTTTAATATTTCGTTTTGAACCATATAAATTTAGAAAAAATAAACAAAGACCACTCATTAAATTAATATTTAGTATAAATTAATTGTTTCAATTTAAAAAGTTCAAATGTGATTACATATTTTAAAATTATCGAGTAATTAGTGAATAAAATGTAAATTGTTCGGATATGTATACAAACTATAGTAACCGGGATTGTGATGGGATGGCACTGAAAAACAAAACGTGTTTAAGAAAATATTTTGGGAATCGCCATTAGGGATGACAACAAGTTAAAGAAAACAAATACACTTAACTTTTGAAAAAAAATAAAAGATATGAGGAAGAAACACGCAGTAACTGAAGTCTCAATTTAGTCACAGGATTAACCCACAAATACCTATTAATGTATGAAACAGAGAGATAAAGAATTTTCAAGAGAACGCAAACAGGAACCCTAAACCCAAATTCCCGAAACGAACACAATCCGAAAACGAACACAATCACAGAAATCTCCAAACTGCGATAACCACCAGGGTCTTCAAAATTCAATTTGGATCAATGAACTAAAATCCAAAAAAACTCAAAACACTCATTTGAATCATAACCCCAAAATCGCATCACGAATCAATAGGGAAGAAATAAAAAAAAAACTCCCAAAACGCGGATCAAAACGTACAAAAGAAACCTCCAAAATCATATAACAAATAAAACCCTAATTTCAAATCCCAAATCGGAACAAAATCTCAATCAGAACCAAGAGAGAGAAGAAGATGGAATGAAGCCTACTCCCTACGCGAGCTGAACAAGAAGGAAGAAGAAAAGAGTCCTCCATTAAGAGAGAATTTTCCAATGAGATTCTATGTATATGTCTGATATCTCTATTAGGGTTAAGTCAAAAGTAATATAACCCCTTTTTTTCTTTTTTTCTTTTAAAAGAGATAAAATTGAGAGGAATCCTAAGTCATTTTATTAAAATTTCCCTTTTTTAAGAGTAATAAAAAAATTTAGTTTAAAAAAATATTAATGAAATTTTTATTATTATTTTTTCGGGTAACGGGTATCCGCGGGTTGGATAGTATAATACCTGCATCTGACACGTTTAGAAGCGGGTATTAAAATACCCGCAACCCGTTACCCGCGGGTAATAAATATCCGCAGCCGTAGATTTTTTGCCATCCCTAGTCGCCACCATAATTTATTATGGAAAAACTATGGAAAACCATAAATTAAGACATGGTCTGCAAAAACTAGATTTTGGGTTCGGGAATCGGTTACGCGTAAGGAAGGTGTTAGCACCGTACCGCGTCTGTCCAAAGGCAATACCTTTAATTAAATGTGTAAAGTTGACGTGGTTTTCCTAAATATTTAATTTTCCCCAAAAATAAAAATATAAAGAAATTATTAAGAAACAAAAATATTTTTTTGTTTTATGAAACTAACAAGGATTGACCTTGCTCCTACATCCATTTATGATGGACATTCAAGGATTGTGTAGTTCTTTATCTAGAAAAAGGTTTGTGAGTTTGTTTGAAAATTATTATGGATTATTTTTTATTTTTGAAAAGTGAACTCGATTAGGATTGACATCATTTTTTTATTTTGAAGAAATTCTTTTATTTTGAAAAGGGTGGGAAAAAAGGAAAGAAACCGGCCATAGGTTGACGAGTACTTAGAGAATTTATTTTATGACTTACTATTATTTTTTTATAGGAAACTACGTGATAAGAAATATTTTTTTTATTTATTTTTATAAAAAAATAGACATCACGTGATGCAGGAGATATAACCAATATCAAAAGAGATGAAAGAAGATATTATTTTTTTTTGAAAAAAAAAATTATTGGTGTGTAGTAAAAAAATTAATACCTTTAGAAAGACCTTCAACGAAAAGAGAAAAAGAAGGGTGCAGAGATGACATACCTTTTCAGCTTTCAATACTCCTCTAATTCTTCCTTGATAGTTTCTATTGGCAAACTCCCTCTACCATGAGAACTTACTTTTCTCTATACTCTCCCATACTCTTTCTATCTCTATTATTTCAGAGTCTCTCTCTATTTTCCGACCCATTTTTGTCCATGACAAGGTGCGTATTTATATACACACATTGTAATATTATGATAATCTTGCCCTTAATTGTGAATTAATTGACAACGAACAAAATAGGAAAAGAAAGTGTTTTGGTTCCAAGAAAAAGAAATCAAATAATATAAATTATAATTATTGTCAGAAAATGTGTCCATTTTTAAAATCACATGTTCCTCTTTAAACGCAACAAATTATATTAATATACTATTTTAATTATTGTTTATAATTATTAGCATAATATTGATTCAAATTATTACTATATTAAACTAAAATTTCAAAAATATTGTGTCCGGTATTATAGTTATTATCCTTTTTACCCACCATTAATTACTTATCCACTCTCATATACTTTTAGGAATTCATCATTCTTTTCATCAATTGCTAATGCAACTCTCTAAATCACTTTGCAAGAAGGCCTATCCTTAATTACGAGTTCATACAATTCCTAGCATTCCTAGTAATTAGTTCTGAAGTTTAGAAGCTTAAAGGCAACCTATATGCTATTGGGAGAAATTCCCCGGATCTAGATTTCCCCATACGTTCCCATATCGACAAAATCAATAATCATGGCAATGAATGAGTTAAACAAAGCAAGCTTTAAGCAAAGAGGAAAAACCCTAACTAATGATGAAAGAAAGCATAAGTCTTAAAATAAGATGTTAAAACAAATTCCATATATGAGAGTTTCACAAGACTACATTGATTCCCCAACAACAATACAAGGTTTAGTTCACCATATTCATGGTGAAACTAGATGAACAATAATGAAAGAATGAAAGATAGAACCCTAGAAAGATGAGGAGGTAGCCTGAGCATCCAAGATCTTCCTTCAAGGGGTGGAAAAGAGAGTGTTTGCTTNTAAGGAGCTTGGCTCTCGGCAGTGAGATATTCATATCTTACTGATTTTCTTGTTCTGCAGAGAATAACAATCATCCATATTCCATTTGAGTCTTCACTTAAAACTTTTTTGTTCTTTAAAAACCTTATCACCATGCGTCACCCTGTATGTCCAAATTGCCATACTTGAGAAAACTTATGTTTTCCCTTAGTATTCTTCAGTAACAACTACTACAACAAAATAAATAGTTCTGCAAAGGCAGATTTTTAAGAGGACAAGGATCTCTGATTATATTCAATAACTAGTTGTGTATAATTGTTAGGGAGCCGGAAAAATTGCAGCTGCTTTAAAGGAAAATCGGTCAATAACAACATTGGATCTGGTAAGAAGAGATCCTATTTTTGTTTCCTTATGTTTGCTCTCTGTACATGTCTTGTTACTCCCCCTGCTCTGATCATTAAAAAAAAAATATCGAGGCTGTAATGTAATACTATTGCTTGGGACATGATTTGTCTGAGTTTAACGTTGCAGGGTGGAAATAACATTCACGCTGATGGTGTTAATGCCGTTGCTCAAGTTTTAAAAGATAATTTAGTGATTACCACTGTAAGCGTCTCAACAGTTATTTAATTTCTCGTCTTTGTTCTGCTTGTCTTTTCTATACTCTAATACAGATTTTGTCTCATTCTTAGTTGGAACTTAGTTATAATCCCATTGGACCAGATGGAGCCAAGGCCTTGGCTGAAGTTCTCAAGTTTCATGGGAACATAAAAACCCTTAAGCTTGGTTGGTGCCAGGTAACCTTTTGACCATGCACTACTTGTAAATTGTATGTTATAACTTTTATTTGTGACATAGAATAACATTACAGATAGGAGCAAAAGGGGCAGAGTTCATTGCAGATGCTTTAAAATACAATACCACAATATCAATTTTGGACTTGCGAGCGAACGGACTACGAGATGAAGTTTGTTTTCAGTACCTTGAGTCAATTTTTCTCTTAATCTCTTTTCAGACCTTCGTCAGTCATTCTGAGTATGCTGTTGTTTTATGAAAATCAACTACTGCAGGGTGCACAGTGCCTGGCTCGCAGCTTGAAAGTGGTTAATGAAGCTTTAACCTCCCTAGATTTAGGATTCAATGAAATAAGGGTATGAATATATGTTTTTGGTTCCTTAGGAAATTATATTGTCTCTAATTTTGTCTGATTCATAGGATGACGGAGCTTTTGCTATTGCTCAAGCACTCAAGTCTAATGATGATGTAGCTGTTACATCCCTTAACATTGCAAGTAACTTCCTTACAAAATTTGGGCAGGTGATGTATATTGTGCTATTGCTATTGCTATTGTTTTTGCTCAGTTTAATGTCAATTTCATTTTATTTTCGTGAGTTTAAATATACTTCACATGCAGGGTGCCTTGGCTGATGCAAGAGACCATGTCTTGGAGATGACCGAAAAGGAAATCAACATCTTCCTCTAGAAGACATTATATTCTGCAATAAATATTTTTTTATAAAAGAGCATTTTTCTTTTAATTTTGCATATATGCTGCCGGCAATTACTGGTAAGAACTCGTCATGTCAAATTTTTTAGTTCTAACCAATTTATCGAGGGAAAGTATAGAAATTTGTTCGCAGTTTAGCCTTATATTGTTGATCTTGAAACCGTTACAGCGGTTGGATGATACAGTTGACAACAATAGTGATAGCTTGTCGGTATAGTTATCATGTGCAGATGGAGTTTAGTTTTGGCAGCAGCAGATTTTTCCTCCGAATCATAGTTGCTAAATTACGTAGAGTTATCAAATGGAAGTTTTAAGATGAGTTTTGAATTATTAATTTATGTTGCTAATTTTGTTGCATACGGTAGTGTGCTCGAAGCTCACTCTAGTCTTTTGTTTCCATCTCTTTTATGAACCTTGTGTGCTTTGATTGATACGCTACTTTGATGCTCGCGTTATAAAATTGGTGCGATCAGTTAAAGACGCAAAAAAGAAGAAAAATAAAAAAAGAAAGAATTAATAAACTAATTCTTTAACTTTTCATCTCCGAAGAAGATTGCACACTCGTTCGAGAATTCGACAGCAAAAGGGTAATGAATGATGGATTGGATATATTGATTCATTCTTAATCTAGTTCATGAAATTTGTCTAAATTACTAAACTATATAAAATTATTAATCATAGTTTTATAGTCGAGCAATTTCAACATTGGTGGCCTTAAAATCTGTAAAACTTAGATTTAGTTAAAATTTAGAGATACGATAAATTTGTTTGTATTCAATTAGGTTTTTGATAAAAAAAATTGTTCGATTTTAGTGTTTGAAATATTCTTTTATTGTCTATGAATTTACGTTTAGTTTTTATTGTGCCAATAAGATGATGTTATTTTTTTTGTTTTTATTTTTAATTCATTTCTTTTCCACTATAATTTTTTAGGTTTAAAATCTTAATTAGTTTATGAGATTTTGATTGATATCAATTGAGTCTTTATTTTGAAAATGTCATGCAATTTGATTATTTTTGTTAGTAATGTATTATTAATGACATTAATTCATGTGTTATGTGTAAGCTTGTAGGTTTTTTAATTTTTTATTTATTTTTGTCATTTAAAGTATTCTCATGACAAAGAAAGTATGATATGGTAGTGTCATTACGTGAAAAATCTCAATTTAGTTTTTATATTTCTTAGTTTCAATTCAATCCTATTTTTTTTTTTCAAATTGGAGCAATTTTATTTTTTTTTTTCAAAATTGAAACTAAATCTAACTTTTATATAAATGTTATAATGATATTTTTATTAATATTTTTAATAATATTAAGTTTATTAAATTTATATTTTATATTAAACTTTATTTAAATTGTTTTAAATATTTATATATCAATCATTTTTCACTGTCTTTGCAAGGTGATAAGACCATCCATTCAATTTTATTTAACTTTTATATAAATGTTAGAGTTGGTTTAAAAATAACACTTTTATAAATTTAAATGTAAAATTTCAAAACATTTTATAACAATTTAGAACAGATATATTTAAAATTTTAAAATAAACTTTAAATAAAGTTAATGTAAAATATAAATTTAAATAAATTAATCTTAATAAAAATATCAATTTTAATATAAATATCATTATAACATTTATATAAAAGTTAAATTTGGTCTCAATTTGAAGAGTTGTGAATTGTTTTATTTAAAAAATATTAAGACTAAATTGTGAAAAAATAATAAATACATGGACTAAACTAAATTTTTTTACATAACATTTGTCCTATCAGTTACACTGACACTATTATGATGTCACATTATCTTTGTCACATAACACGATCCTCATTTGACATGTAGCAAAATGATTTTTAAAAAAATTGAAATGAAATTAAAAAAACAAATGAACATGTGGCACATGAGTTAATGTAGCTATAGCATAATACTAATAGAAATGACCAAATTATATCACATTTTCAAAAGTAGCATTCAATTGAAACGAATAAAAATTTGAGGACAATTTTCGAACAAATAAGCGATTAATCAAAGGTTTAAACTAGGGATGACAAAAATATCTCTATCCACAGAAATATATAGTTGGTACTCATATGTATTTATTATTGGTGAGTAACATATGTTTTAATATTTGATTATAAATGGATTGAGTGCGGGTATTATACTACTCATACCCACATATATTCATTATTTGCAAAAAGATTAAAATTAAAATTTAATTTATATCTTATTAAGTTAAACTTAATTAAATAAAAATTAATTTATATTTTATTAGATAAATTTAATTAAAAGTAAATATTAAATTATATTATTTTTATTGCAATATCATTTAAATTTTATTTTAAAAATTTATAAAATATTTTTTTAAATATCTACAAATATTTTCTAAACACAGTAACCGAAGAACAAAATAACGAATATAATACGTAAACATCATGTCTTACCCAGCCCATTGTCCTCCTAATTTAAGCCAATTTTTTAACTCGTTGATTAATTTATTTTTTCCTTCTCCACCAGCAAATGGATTGACAAATTAGAACATAGTAGAGAGGATAGACAAGTTGATTGATAAATTAAAGATGGAAAGTCAACTATAATGACAACTTCATTTTACTAAGAGTACAATTAAAAGAACATGCACTTAAGTAAAAATAAGAAATATTGTAGACAATAAAACAAACATTTTAATAATAAATATATTGAAAATACCAAATTTATGAACGCTTAAAACTTAAATAAACTTTAAAATTATTAATTTTGAATTTATTTTAACAATGATAATATTTACAAATATTAACAATATTCTATAACATTAAATGAATTTAAAAATAATTATATTTAATATAATTTAAGGCTTCTGGCTTTAATTTCTTTTTTAATATTTCGTTTTGAACCATATAAATTTAGAAAAAATAAACAAAGACCACTCATTAAATTAATATTTAGTATAAATTAATTGTTTCAATTTAAAAAGTTCAAATGTGATTACATATTTTAAAATTATCGAGTAATTAGTGAATAAAATGTAAATTGTTCGGATATGTATACAAACTATAGTAACCGGGATTGTGATGGGATGGCACTGAAAAACAAAACGTGTTTAAGAAAATATTTTGGGAATCGCCATTAGGGATGACAACAAGTTAAAGAAAACAAATACACTTAACTTTTGAAAAAAAATAAAAGATATGAGGAAGAAACACGCAGTAACTGAAGTCTCAATTTAGTCACAGGATTAACCCACAAATACCTATTAATGTATGAAACAGAGAGATAAAGAATTTTCAAGAGAACGCAAACAGGAACCCTAAACCCAAATTCCCGAAACGAACACAATCCGAAAACGAACACAATCACAGAAATCTCCAAACTGCGATAACCACCAGGGTCTTCAAAATTCAATTTGGATCAATGAACTAAAATCCAAAAAAACTCAAAACACTCATTTGAATCATAACCCCAAAATCGCATCACGAATCAATAGGGAAGAAATAAAAAAAAAACTCCCAAAACGCGGATCAAAACGTACAAAAGAAACCTCCAAAATCATATAACAAATAAAACCCTAATTTCAAATCCCAAATCGGAACAAAATCTCAATCAGAACCAAGAGAGAGAAGAAGATGGAATGAAGCCTACTCCCTACGCGAGCTGAACAAGAAGGAAGAAGAAAAGAGTCCTCCATTAAGAGAGAATTTTCCAATGAGATTCTATGTATATGTCTGATATCTCTATTAGGGTTAAGTCAAAAGTAATATAACCCCTTTTTTTCTTTTTTTCTTTTAAAAGAGATAAAATTGAGAGGAATCCTAAGTCATTTTATTAAAATTTCCCTTTTTTAAGAGTAATAAAAAAATTTAGTTTAAAAAAATATTAATGAAATTTTTATTATTATTTTTTCGGGTAACGGGTATCCGCGGGTTGGATAGTATAATACCTGCATCTGACACGTTTAGAAGCGGGTATTAAAATACCCGCAACCCGTTACCCGCGGGTAATAAATATCCGCAGCCGTAGATTTTTTGCCATCCCTAGTCGCCACCATAATTTATTATGGAAAAACTATGGAAAACCATAAATTAAGACATGGTCTGCAAAAACTAGATTTTGGGTTCGGGAATCGGTTACGCGTAAGGAAGGTGTTAGCACCGTACCGCGTCTGTCCAAAGGCAATACCTTTAATTAAATGTGTAAAGTTGACGTGGTTTTCCTAAATATTTAATTTTCCCCAAAAATAAAAATATAAAGAAATTATTAAGAAACAAAAATATTTTTTTGTTTTATGAAACTAACAAGGATTGACCTTGCTCCTACATCCATTTATGATGGACATTCAAGGATTGTGTAGTTCTTTATCTAGAAAAAGGTTTGTGAGTTTGTTTGAAAATTATTATGGATTATTTTTTATTTTTGAAAAGTGAACTCGATTAGGATTGACATCATTTTTTTATTTTGAAGAAATTCTTTTATTTTGAAAAGGGTGGGAAAAAAGGAAAGAAACCGGCCATAGGTTGACGAGTACTTAGAGAATTTATTTTATGACTTACTATTATTTTTTTATAGGAAACTACGTGATAAGAAATATTTTTTTTATTTATTTTTATAAAAAAATAGACATCACGTGATGCAGGAGATATAACCAATATCAAAAGAGATGAAAGAAGATATTATTTTTTTTTGAAAAAAAAAATTATTGGTGTGTAGTAAAAAAATTAATACCTTTAGAAAGACCTTCAACGAAAAGAGAAAAAGAAGGGTGCAGAGATGACATACCTTTTCAGCTTTCAATACTCCTCTAATTCTTCCTTGATAGTTTCTATTGGCAAACTCCCTCTACCATGAGAACTTACTTTTCTCTATACTCTCCCATACTCTTTCTATCTCTATTATTTCAGAGTCTCTCTCTATTTTCCGACCCATTTTTGTCCATGACAAGGTGCGTATTTATATACACACATTGTAATATTATGATAATCTTGCCCTTAATTGTGAATTAATTGACAACGAACAAAATAGGAAAAGAAAGTGTTTTGGTTCCAAGAAAAAGAAATCAAATAATATAAATTATAATTATTGTCAGAAAATGTGTCCATTTTTAAAATCACATGTTCCTCTTTAAACGCAACAAATTATATTAATATACTATTTTAATTATTGTTTATAATTATTAGCATAATATTGATTCAAATTATTACTATATTAAACTAAAATTTCAAAAATATTGTGTCCGGTATTATAGTTATTATCCTTTTTACCCACCATTAATTACTTATCCACTCTCATATA